CCCAGCTACTTGGGAGGCTGAGGCAGGAGAATCGCTTGAACCTGGGAGGCAGAGGTTGCAGTGAGCCAAGATCATGCCACTGCACTCCAGCCTGGGTGACAGTGAGACTTCGTCTCCAAAAACAAAAACAAAAAAGGGCTGTTTCTGTTTCTCTTCTCTTCTGCCTATTAAACCTCCGCTCCTAAACTCCTTGCATGAGTCCCTGTCCTAAATTTTCCTGGCACACAATAATGAACTCCAGGGTATATACCTCAGACAATGCAGCAGCTTCTTCAGCAGTGGGATCAGTAGAGAACAGCCTGGGAAATGGCCCGTGGATTGGACTTTAGGGGAGAAAACTATTCCGTAGCAGATAGCCTGAAAACACTCTATCATTTGAACGTTTTCCAGGGAAACGAAAAGTACTTGTGATGAGCAGAATAACGGCTCCTGAAGATATCCAGGTTCGAATCCCCAGAACCTGTGAATACGTCACCTCTCATAGCAAAAGGGACTTTGCAGCTGTGATTAAATTAAACATCTTGAGACAGGAAGATGATCCTGAATTAGCCAGGTGGGCCCTGAGGCAGGAGAATAGGGCCTGGAAGCAGGAAACCTAAGGACTTCGGAGAACTAAATAAAATGGAAACACTTCAGCACCTCTTCATTTACATACACCGAGTAAACGACTTTCTAACTTTACTTCATCCTCTTCACTGCATACAGCATATACCAAGTAACCAATGAAAATCTCTAGAAGGCATTTAAACCCCAGAAAATTCTGTAACCAGTCCCTTGAGCCACTTGCTCAGGCCTGCTCCCACCTTGTGGAGTGTGATTTCATTTTCAATAAATTTCTGCTTTTATTGCCCGATTCTTTCCTTGCTTTGTTGGCGGGTTTTGTCCATTTCTTTGTTTAAAGCACCAAAATCCTGGTCACCCTCCATGGGTAATAGGCCCTAACAAAGTACCTGGGTCCTTACAAGGGAAGAATCTGTCCGAGTACGTGTTGCTGAAGAAGGGCCAGGAGGAGGCCATGTCGCTGACATGGAAGATGAAAGTAAGGGCCGTGGGTAAGGAATGTGGGCAGCAGCTAGAAGTTAGAAAAAGCAAGGAAACAGCTTCTCCCCTAGAGCCCCAGAAGGAGCCAGTCCAGCAGACGCTTTCACTTTAACCTAATGAGACCCGCTTGGAACTGATAGGGCTCCAACACGTGTAAGAACATCAGGGCTCTTGACTCACGCGGAATGAAAGACGATGACGTGGACACACGTGGAGGAGTTTTAAGGAGTAGAGCGTGGACGTTTAATAAGCAAGAAAGAAAGCAGAGGAAAGAAGGAAGAAGCTCCCCTAAACAGAGACAGAGCTGAGAAGACACCTGCTGTACCAGGGAAAAGCAGCGGCTCACTAAGCAGGCTGAAAGAGGTGGCGTCTCATTTGCACAGGGCTCAGGGGATTGGTTTGACCAGGCATGTCACTCATGCAGCCCGCAAATAAAACCGGCCCTCCCACCCTACTTTTAATATGCAAATGCAGGGCGCCATGATGTTCCATACACGTGGGGATATGTGGGGGCGGCCATGTTGCCAGGCACGTGTTGGGGCAAGGACAAGAAACCTGTGGGAATCACCATGTTGAGTGGACCCAGTTTCTAAAGGCTTGTATTTGCATATTAAAGATGGCTGGCCTGGGTGGACCCAGGTCCTAATGGCTGGCATTTGAATAACAAAGTTTGCCTGCCCGGGGTCTAAGAGCCAGGGCTTTTCTGCTAGACAAGAAACGTTTTTGGAGCTGCTTTAAAAGAGACAGAAACTTTCTAAGGACCCCCATTTCCCCTGTATGGGCCTAAAATAATTTCGTAATAACTCCTACCACAGGACTTCTGCACTCCAGCACTGTAAAATGATGAGGAATTTGTATGGTTTCAGACCATTCAGTATTCAGCAGGTGATAACTTGCTACAGCGATAATAGAAAATGAATACAGCATCTTTCCCAAAAGTTACTAAGAAGCAACAGCAAAGGGTGTGGATGTCCCTGTTGATCGTGTAAACGGTAAGGTCTCAATCGATTTAGAAAGTTTATTTTGCCAAGGTTAAAAACATGCCCATGACAGACTCAGGAGCTTCTGACGACCTGTACCCAAGGTGGTTGGGGTACAGCTTGCTTTTATACATTTTAGGAAGACATGAGACTTGGATCAATACATTTAAGATTTACATTGGCTCGATCTGGAAGGGTGGGACAACCTGAAGCAGGGGCAGGGTTGGGGGATGGAGGGGGGCTTCCCAGGTCCCAGGTAGATTTAAACATATTCTGATTGGCAATCGTTGAAAGAGTTATTATCTATAGGAAGGAATGTCTGGGTTATGTTAAAGGGTTGTGGAGTGTGGGTTTTATCATGCAGATGAAGCCACCCAGTAAGAGCTTTAGGGAGAACAGACTGTAGATATTTCTTATTAGACTTAAGGTCTGTGTTGATGTTGATGCTGGAGGGTAATAGTGAGGCATATCCAAGCTCCATTTCCCATCACGGCCTGAACTCGTCTTTCAGGTTAAATTTCAGGGTGCCCTGGATGAAGAGGGAGTCCATTCAGATGGTTGGGGGCCCCTTGAATTTTATTTTGGGCTTACAATTGCAAGGAGCAGGCTCTGAGCAGCTGCTGCCCGAGCTCTGCTCTTTGTCAGCAAAGGTGCTCCTTCCTGATGTCTCTGCTCTCTGCCCCTTAGGATTAAAAAAACAAACAAAATAACAACAACAAAAACGGCCTTTTCCATTCTATCCAGAGGGTACAGTTGTTCTCAACACCCAGTAGGAATAAAGGCCCCCTGTGATTCATGACTAGGCCATAGTTTTGTGGCCCAGCCCTGAGAAAGAAAGAAAATTAATTTACACTTGCTCCCCTCAGGGTGAGGGACTCTGCCTCTCGCTCTGGCTAGAGTTCTTTCTTTCCAGTTGGAATCTTGCATTATTTACAGTTATGGAAGGGGTTAGACACAAGGCCCAGGCAGAAATCACGCTGCCCTGGCCCTGACTTTTCAGCCTGTAAATCTGACCTGTGTTGCTTCCCTTACCTCTTCTGACTTTAAAGATGTTAAAACATGTGCTCTGAATCAAGAGACCCCCCCCCCGCCCCCAAACAGGCTTTGTGTGAGCATCATGGCTGTTCATTCACTTGGGTGCAGGCAGGCTGAGTCTGAAAAGAGGGTCAGCAGAGGGCAGTGAGATAGGTGTTGGTTTTGTGTGTTTGAAGTAGGCAGTGGAAAGTTACAGAAGTTACAGTTTAGGGCAGTTTTTGCAAGCTAGGAGGAGGGTCACAGGATCTGGAGTCATGAGGTTGACTAAGGTCAGTTATGAAGTTGAATTGCGTTATCAATTGAGGCAGGAATAAGGAACAATAGAGAATGTCTCAAAGTTAGTTAGGCACCTCAGGGGTTGATCATTCTCCCTTTTTTCATGGCCTTCCGGTTACTTCAGATTTTCTAATTCCAGGAGGCCATCTAGGGGTGTACCTGCAGGTCGCGGGGGTTGCCCTGGTGTCCATGGTGCCATCAGTCAGCCTAAAAGACCTTACAAAAGAATCATGTCACTCTCTAGCAAAAAAGACTACCATCTTGTAGGACAATCATTCAATAGGCTTGCATTAATTATCTATTGCTGCACAACAAAGTACCCCAAAGCTTAGATTTAAAGCAGTAAACATTTATTTTCTCACAGTTTCTGGAGTTTGAAAATCCAGAAGTTTACAGGAAATTTGTGGCATAAACCCTGTCATGAGGCTGAGGCTGCAGTTGTTTGAAGGTGGGACCGAGGCTGGAGGGTCCACTTCTAAGAGGCTCACTCTCATGCCTGGCAGGATAGCTCCAGCTGTGGGCAGGAGGCTTTAGTTTCTCCCCGTGTGGACCCCTCTCTAGGACTTCTTAAGGGTTGTCACAACGTTGTGGTTGGTTTCCCCACAGTAATGAACTAACAGGCAACCAAGCAGCAGCCATTATGCCTTTTGTGGCCTGACCGTGGAAATCACACAATGTCTTACCGGTTACACAGTCATCCGTCTTCAACGTAGGAAGGACTACACCAGGTGATGGATACTAGCGGATGAGCATGGTTGGAGATTATCTTGGAACCTCACTACTTTTTCTACAATTTTAGAAAAGGAAAACAATAATGAAGCCAGAATTCAGCAGTTTATAAGATGCTCACGAATCTGCATTCCATGTGGACTTGTTGCAAGAACTTTATCATCTGAGACCCACAATGAGCCAATCACACTAGCTGAGCCATTCCATTCTCCCGGCAATGTCTTGACAATTTCCCCCTACCCCAACCCTCCTCTTTGTGTGTAGCTTGGAGATTAGAATCCATTGATTGGAGCCATTCTTGATTAATTGACAGGTGAGGAGAGGAGGCAATGAAAGGCAGTGTTAGTGAAGGATGTCAATCATTGCTGAGAAAACTTCTCTAAGCCCCACGTTTCTTCTACTACTCAGGGGGATGGCGCTGCCCTTCAGACTTTCTGAGAGATCAGAAGAATTCTATGTGATTCACATAGAACAGACTTCAGTGCTGCAGACAGGTCGAAGACCTACCACAAATATGACTTCATGCATCACTTTGACTTTATTACTGAGTTTACTCATCTATTGACCAAGAGTAAGAACAGATCAGTGGTTCTTGAATTTGAATGATTATCTCCTTCTTCTGTCCTAAAGTCAGACCGCCAAGCCCCACCTATGGGCACTATGTGTCAGTCAAAATATGATATATTTCCCAGAACCTACGTCTGATATAAGCTACTTCAGATGATCTGAAGGTTTAGGGACTAGCTCAGACTTTCTTCGCTAGAGATGGCAGATCCTCTTACTTTGAGGAAAGAGGTACCGTGAGATATTTTTCCCCTTAAATTAATTTCTACATCATTTGACATGGACTAGATCAGGGGTCCCCAACCCCTAGGCCACAGATAGTTACTAGTTCGTGGCCTGTCGAGAACCAGGCCACACAGCAAGAGGTGAACTGAGGATCTAGGTTGTACAGTCCTTATGGGAATCTAACTAATGCCTGATGATCTGAGGTGGAACAGTTTCATCCCAAAATCATCCCCTCTGCACCCCTGCCCTGTCTATGGAAAAACTGTCTTCCACAAAACTGACCTCAGGTGCCAAAACTGTTGAGGACCACTGGACTGAATAATTGGCAGATGGCGTCCCAGCTATGAATTTCTAAAATCGTATGCTTCTACACAGAAAAAGAAAAGTTGTGTATGGTGGTGCAAAATTTTATTACAGATTCGGCACAGTATTGATTTATTTATAAGTTTGTAATGATTATTACTTTCCTCTGGGACAGTCATTCTAGAACTCTAGTGTCAAGAAAAATCACCTAGGTCACTTGTTACAGTGTGGAATCTTGGGCTCCACCTCGAGACGTTGTATAGTTCAATGTGGAGAACATGTTGAATTGAAAGTTATACAGTACCAACACTGCACTTCCCACATGACTGGTGAGAACGACAACACTGCCTCCAAAAACAAATTCACCGAAATTATACATTTAAAGGCATGTTAACTCCTGGTCACACCTGGGAGCACATGACCCTGTTTTCAGGTTTCTGAATATGAGACTAGAATTATCCTCCTAGACTAGGGTCTCCAAAACTTCCTTAATGATAAGAACGTGCTGGTGGTCCTTGTTAAATGCAATGCATAGAAACTCTTCCCTGATTCAAATTTGGAATACCTAGGTTGTTTTGTAAACAAGTATTCTAGGCAAGTTTGGGAGATTCTGTTCTTAGACGCTGTAGGTGAAGGAAATCTAGACATAACATAGCCCCATCCCGTCCTTGTGCAGATGAGGTGAGGGAGCCCACCCACTTGGCCAAGCCTCACAGTTGGCTCATCTCCACTTGAACTGCATGTTATCTTAAAGGGTTTTTAATACTTAGGTTTAAGAAGTTGTGTAGGCTTGTCAAGTTTGGTTGGTCTCACCAGAGGGAGATTAAAGTAATAACATAATGCAAGTCAGGAAGGAAAAACTAATTAGCAAATTCATTTTATGCCCTGTCAAAATAAAAAAGGGAAAAAGGAAAGACAAGAAAGACTCTTAAAAATTGTTATTTAACCCCATGAACCAGCGAACTCCTGGAGTCCAGGAACTGACAGTTGCAGGAGGCATTAGAAGAAGACAAATAAGCTATTCAAATTATAAATGGGAAACACGCTTTTTAACCACTGACTACTCACTCTATATTATTGAAATGGTTGCCAATTCCAGTAATAATCACAGGAATACGTAATTTGGAGGAGATCCCTAATGAATTACACATCATTTCTTATGACAACAGAAACAGGCACTCTTTAGATAGTTCCAGGGAGACCATATTACAGAACAAGAAGATATTGAAAAGTGAAGGTGAAGACCAGTAAGGAAATTCACTTTCTTGATTCCAGACCGCTGGAGGGGCTTCCTGTTGTGAGGTGCTAAAACGTGAGCCCCTGCCCACTCAGGATGGGTAAGAAGCTCCTGGGCCCTACCTTGCTACTGACATGGGACAGCCTAAACAGAGTCCCAAGAGGGTAGAAAATAGTCTTTGGATCCCACATCCTACCATTTACCTACCTCATTCTCTTCTCCCCTCCAGGTTTCTGGCTGCTGCTAAGTATAAATACAAGCAGCTGAGTCAAATTGGAAATAGGACAACAGCCGTATCGATAGCAAAGTAGTGTGGAGAACAAAGTTTGGGACTGAGACTGAAACAAAAAGGAGTGACGACTTCTTTGCTCCATGAATTGAAGCCAGGGTCGCAGAGCAGAACTGGCCTACCTGCAGGCTGACCATTTCACCTGGGAGATCCCAAGCCCCGTGCAAGGGTCCAACAAGGCGAAGCGGAGGCACTTGCAATATCCCTTTCTCTTGGTTTTTGTTTTTTTTTTTTTTTTTTCAGACAGCGTTTTGCTCTTGTTGCCCAGGCTGTAGTGCAATGGTGTAATCTCGGCTCACCACAACCTCTGCCTCCCAGGTTCAAGCGATTCTCTTGCCTCAGCCTCCCGAGTAGCTGGGATTACAGGCATGCCCCACCATGCCCGGCTAATTTTGTATTTTCAGTAGAGACAGGGTTTCACCAAGTTGGTCAGGCTGGTCTCAAACTCCCAACCTCAGGTGATCCGCCCACTTTGGACCAAAGTGCTGGGATTACAGGCATGAGCCACCGCACCTGGCCCATCTCCCTTTCGTAACAGACTGTGTCTCATAAGAGGGAAAACAGTCTTCTTCCATTCCTTGAAACATTATGCTCTCATTTTTCTGACTGCTTTTGCTGGGAAAGTTTGATGTCATGATATTTCAAATTTTATTTCTGAAGTTAAGCACAGTACTTACCAAAGACACCGTCATTGCTTTGTTAACGTCTTGATTATTTCTTGTACACAGTGGCCTCGATATTGATCAGACCCAGTGATTCATTACACAAATTTTACTCATGGGTGCAGTGAAGCATGAAGGACAGTTGAAAGGAAATGATAAACAACCAGGTTTTTTCTCTGGAACAGGAAGAATGACCAAATGCATTATTAAAATTTAAGTAGACACCTTTTCTACTTTCTCTATGGAAGCACTTTCTAATATTTAAAATTCTTCAGCCCAAGACAATGTGTGACGGTGCAGTGAAAGAAATAGAAGTCGTGAAATGAGAACCAAAGAATTATTGTTTGTCTACTTACACTAGGTATTTTAATACAAGCTCTCCATTAAACCTCCCAATAATCTCATAATGTAAATAGTATTTGCCACCTTTACAAACAAGAGAACTGGAGGTTTCTCATGGCCAGTATATCAAAGAGCTGCATTTGAACAGGGGTTTCTCTGGAACCCATATCCTATTTTACCGCTGTTTCCGATTGCATCAATACATATTTCACCACTCTCAGCACAGACATGAAAGAAAAGTTGCAACTCAGGAAAAAAGTCTCTATGCTGCACCAGAATATCTCGAAACGCATGTGAAAAATCCTGCCTAGAAAGCACATCCGAAATATAATGCAATGCTGCATGCTCCTCATTAGCAGAGCCCGAAAGGTGGCCGATTTGCATTTCCCTCCCCAGCACTTCACGTCGCCCTCCAGCACCTTGCCAGTCCTCCAGAAAGAGTTTGAAAGGTAATTTTTCGGTCAGGCGCGGTGGCTCACGCCTGTAATCCCAGCACTTTGGGAGGCCGAGGCAGGTGGATCACGAGGTCAAGAGATCCAGACCATCCTGGTCAACATGGTGAAACCCCGTCTCTACTAAAACTACAAAAAATTAGCTGGGCATGGTGGTGCGTGCCTGTAATCCCAGCTACTCAGGAGGCTGAGGCAGGAGAATTGCCTGAACCCAGAAGGCGGAGGTTGCGGTGAGCCGAGATCGTGCCATTGCACTCCAGGCTGGGTAAAAAGAAACACCCTCCATCTTAAAAAAAAAAAAAAAAAAAAGAAAGGTAATTTTTCAGACTCCTTCAATCCTAGCAAATGACAGTGTGAGCCACTGCTCTGCTCACCATAGTTTCCCAAGACTACCCAAAAGAAAGCGACTTATTGGAGGGAAAATGCAGTCTGGAGATCCTTGTGTTGACATACAAATGAGGTAACTCTATCATATTGCAGGACGCCATTATACGATACAATCAGAAAACCTACAGAGCTGTCCTCCTATCAGTAAAAGGAATCATGACACAACAGGCCAATTCCTAAGCCTTTCTTGTGCACTCACCATTTCTCCAGGTTTTTCACCGTCAACATGACAGTTGCGGGAGAATTGTGGAGTGCAGCTACTGCACCAGAGATGATGATCTTTCACTTCGATATGCGGATGGGATTCGTACCCACTTGGAAACAAGCCAGCGTGAACAGGCTTGGAGCGCGTTCATGCCATGCACAGTGAACTCTTTGTATGAAGGCCTGTGTCCGTCCACGATCCAAGCAAGCATTTAAGATGCTTTACCATCTTCCCCACTCCAGGTGAGTGTGTGCCCCTGCTCTACAGTATAATAAATGGCAGGGCATCCTGGGCCTGAGAGAGAATTAAAGGGACAGAACCAGTGACTTCCTTTCAAATTCTATAGTCTTAGAGAGTCTTTTCTGCCATTTCCATTGCTCTTGCTCTTGAGGATTCAGGGTCATTTCCCGAGAGAGTGATTTTCATCCCTTCTCCTCTCTGCCTCCATGATTTAGTGGTGTTCCCTTTTCTCTTCGGAATCAGAATCAATCACCCAACCAACAAACACTTTCACTCCCTGTTTCTTGTTGCTCAGAAACACGAGGATTCCAAAATCCCCAGATATCAATCTCAGCCTCCAAATTAAAAAAATTATTCCCTTGTCTTTTGTTAAAATGTTTCACCCTTAGGTTCTAAAACCTCTAACTCAGCAAAGTCCAAAGTTAGTGGAAACAGAAATAAAATCTGGTTGCACATGGGTCTGTCACATGAGAGATTAAAAAAAAGTAGCCAAGCCGTCAACCAAGGTCCTCAGGGAGGGAGGGGCCACGGGCTTCACCATCTCGGGTGCTGGTGTGAGACCCAGTGCTCCGGGCCTGGCTGTGCTGAGGGGTGTCAGTTACATGACCCGCAGGGGCCAAGAGCTGCAATCTCGGGGCCTGAGCAGGGAGCACCCAAGTGCGCCCATTTTCACTCTGAAGACCACCCCAGCCTGTGCGGTGACCTGGACCAGGAAAAGCAGATCAAGTAGGGACCAGCCCCGCAGGTCTGACTGCACAGGGCTTAGTTTCGACACAACCCTGGTGAGGCCGCGGCTGCAGCAGGCTGCTCAGACCCCAGGCCCTTTCTAGTTGGGTGTGAAGGTCAGAGGGACCCCAGCTCCCCCATGGGACCCTGGAAGCTCTGGGACACCTTTTTTTTTTTTTATTATCACTTAGTTTTATTTATTTATTTAAGACAGAGTCTCCATCTGTTGCTCAGGCTGGACAGCAGTGGCACGATCTCGGCTCACTGCAGCCTCTGCCTCCTGCATTCAATGATTCTCCTGCCTCAGCCTCCCAAGTAGCTGGGACTACAGGGGTGAGCCACCATGCCTGGCTAATTTTTGTATTTTTAATAGATAGGGGTTTTGCCATGTTG